ATTACTAGGCCCAGCCCTACGGCCTGCGAAATACTACTTCCAACTACGCGTACAATATACATCGACCGCGGCCAAAGCCACGCAACTTTGTCAACATGATTTGGATTGAGGAGTATCAAGAAGTAATGGTGCACTAAGACAAGCAACAACCCTAACATCTATGACATATCACAAGAGTCGATCGGATCGATCTTGATCCGGCCCGGTGGCGTAGATGGTCCCGTTTCGACTCAAGCGTCTGGTTTTTTTGGTCTCCACACAGCATCCACATGGAGCTATGACACCAGATTTGCATGATGGCTTGCCATTACATGCACGATGAAGATCACGTCAAGCAGCCATGCAAGAAGACGGAGTACAAGCAAGTGGGCCAACTATGGGTGTTCGTGTTATGTATGTATTCATACACAATGTACAGCGACAACCTGGAAGGACTCCGTGTGCTTCTCCGACTCCAAATATGAAGACCACATACAATCTACTAAATCGCCATCAGGCTACTCTGTAACCTTCACGCAAGCAAGGAAGATCTCCGACTGCGCCCAACCTCGGCTAGACATGTCCGAGGGCTTTTGCCTCCCCATGCGATGGAGCTAGGTACATGCCCTCCGACCACCAAACTGATCAAGCAGCCACGTCGACCACGGACCACATCGACCACGTCCCGAGCGGCTCCGCCGAGCTCCGACCACGTCGACCACGGACCACGTCGACCATGTCTCGAGCGGCTCGCCGAGCTCCGACCACATCGACCACGGACCACGTCGACCACGTCCCGAGCGGCTCCGCCGAGCTCCGACCACCTCGACCACTAGACCACGTCGCAATGATGATCGCCACAAAGAACGGCGCTATGACAACCGCGACCACCGTCACAACAGGCTGAAAAGCACGAGGACCGGACAACTTTATCGCCATCGACCAGATTTCTATCCAAAGATAAGTACACTTCTAATATTTATATTTAATATAATTTTCATTACGGCGTTTCTCCACAACATTCTCGTCATGATTATTCTTCAAATAACGTTTGTCCATGTATACCATCTTAAATATAACATACAACTATACTTAATGCAAATCCTCGACCAGTCATGTTGACGCTCGATGTCTCCAGAAATGGCCCTATCTCTGGCTCCTCCCTACACGTGCACGAGCGTCTGCCCTCTGCGTTATGGGTGGTCGGCAGCGGCTCTTTAGTGACCCTTTGTTCTTCCTACACGTGCACGGGCTCCGCGCCCAGCGTTATGGTTAACGAGCTAGCTAGGGCTGGAGACTCAGCTACACACTAACTGGTCAGGCAGTTTATATTAAGTATAAACACAAACTTCACTTTAACACTGATGTTTACAAAGCACCAACTGCTTTATCACATCATGCTCATTTGCAAATGACTGCAGAGCGTCATACGCTATTTCTTCACCGCTGATTTTTTTCTCTATTATTTATTATTTTGTACATCATGTACTACCATTCTACATATTTATATTACAGGAATTTCGAGCTATGCATGGGGACTTCGTCGCTCGCTCCTCGACCTGTGCTCGGGGACTGCCTCGATCACTCTCTGACCACAGCTCGGGGACTTCGTCGCTAGCTCCTCGATCTGTGCTCGGGGACTGCCTCGATAACTCTCTGACCACAGCTCGGGGACTTCATCGCTCGCTCCTCGATCTATGCTCGGAGACTGCCTCGATCACTCTCTGACCACAGCTCAGGGACTTCGTCGCTCGCTCCTCGGCCTACGCTCGGAGACTACCTCGATCACTCTCTGACCATAGCCCGGGGACTTCGTCGCTCGCTCCTCGGCCTACGCTCGGGGACTGCCTCGATCACTCTCTGACCACAGCTCAGGGACTTCATCGCTCGCTCCTCGACCTGTGCTCGGGGACTGCCTCGACCACTCTCTGACCACAGTTCGGGGACTTCGTCGCTCGCTCCTCGACCTGTGCTCAGGGACTGCCTCGACCACTCTCTGACCACAGCTCGGGGACTTCGCGTCTCGACTACATGCGACTGGCGACTCACATATAGTTGGGATATTTTTTCTCCTTTAGACCTTGCTACAAGGCTCATACCTCTCATTCCAGCAAGTTCGGGGACTACATCGGTACGATGCACCTGATGGTGCATGCTGTATCTAATTAACAAGACTCTTTTACACCCTGGCACCACGTGCCTACGTCACCTACTACCAGGCTCGGGGACTAAGTGGGCACACTTCACCTTGCGGTGAATGTGCTCGTTCTGATGGTTCAAACGCCTCCGATTCTACAAGGACGACCGTGTCTCTTTTCAACTCAGAGTCAAAGTGGGCACACTTCGGGGGAAATATTTTTCAAATTTTATCTTGACCCCCTTACATCCTTCTGGCAAGCTCAAGACGGCGTTACTCGAAGGATACAAGGCGCTCGGGGACTAGCTGTGGGGGTATTAACCCCTATACCCTTACGGCTAGGTTTGGGTCGGCCCGGACCAGGGGGTCCGTCCCACCAGAAGACGACGCGCGGCCCAAACGATCTGCTCGGAGTCCCATGCAAGGAATCAAGGCAGACTTGGAGATCAAGCAAGATCCTAGTCGGTTAGAATATGAATCCTTATCCGGCCACCTATGGTAATTGTAACCGGTTGGGATTAGTTTTCAGATCTGTAACCCTGCCCCCCAGACTATATAAGGCGGGCAGGGGACCTCTCTCAAAACATCACAATCTCATTGACATACAACAATACAATCAGACATAGGACGTAGGTATTATGCCCTCACGGCGGCCAAACCTGGATAAAACCTCATGTCTGTCTTGCGTCACCATCTCGTTCGTAGCTTGCGCACCTGTCTGCCGATAATCTAATCTACTACCTTGGGCATACCCCTAGGTAGACTGCCGACCATATTTCGTCGATAGTACCCGAAGAGAAGGAGCTAATAACCATCAAGGTTGATTCATCCGAACAATCGAGAGCACGACTATAGCTCCAACCAACCCCCAGGTGCGCAAACTCTGCCTCGCCCGACTACTGAGGGTTGGCTCCACCTCGCCCGACACCGAGGCCGCAGGCTTCGCCTCGTCCGACCCCTGAGGGCGAACTCCGCCTCGCCCGACCCTTGGATTTGGGCTCCGCCTCGCCCAAGCCTCATGTTCACGCTCCGCCTCGCCCGGCCTCTGGGGAGGAACTCCGCCTCGCCTGACCGCGACGCCGAGGGCTCCGTCTCGCCCAACGGAGACCCATACCACCGCCAACCACTCCAGGTCCAAGCGTATGGGCCAGTGTCAAAGCTCTGACGCCAGGGATGTGACTAGCATGCCTCGATGTAGCCCGTGACCCACGACGGGACATACCTGGGGGTTCACGTCAAGAACAGCATCGGGCGTACCGGTACTGTTCTGCCTAACCCCCGTATGAACACTGATGGGCGTGTCAGTTTGCCGCGACGTCCGCCAGGACGGAGTGGAGCGCCATGACCGGCAGACGACGTCTGCACATGGCGCTAATGACGGACAGGGCCACGACGGGAAGCTGTCCCTGTTGACGTCTACAGGGTCGGTGGGACCCGCATATAGGAGAAGAAGGACCTGGCAATCCTGAATGATTTCTTCCTCTCGTTGTCTTGTCTTCCTCCACTGTAATCCGTGCATTCCCTTGACCTATAAAAGGGAAAGCAGGACGTCCCACAAAGGGCATCGGATCAGCGATCGCAACACATCGCATCGAACCATCGGACTCGAATCTGATCGACCACCAAACCCCGAACATGCAGCCAAGCAGCGATCGAGCTGTCGGCACCCATTCGTTCCTTCCATCAGAGACTTGTGACATGTCCCTCTCTCGACCGTTTATAACCCCTACTACGAACTTTCAGTGCTAGTAACACGAGCAACAACAACGAACTGGACGTAGGGACGTTCTGCCCGAACCAGTATAAACCTCGTATCCTCTTAGCACACCATCCGAGCTAGACGCGCAATATTAGAAATTTACTTGTTGGTGGCGACTCAAAACACCGACACCTGGCGCTGCGAGGCGGGTCTGCGGCGGGGCGCGGCCGGCTCGGCGAGGCGCGCCCACGGCGAGGTGGTTCCGCGGTGTGGTGCGGTCAGGCGGACCACGGCGGGGAGGACTCCTCCTTCGAGCCGGCAGCTGCGGCTGCTCCTCCACTGTGGGCCCCGCCTCGCGCGGATGCGGCCCGGCGTCGGCGTGGCTTGACCCACGCGCACGAGGCTCACCGGCGGTGACACAACCCACCTCGCTCAGAACGCGGCGCCGATGGCCATGCTTCTTGCTGCTCGGTGCTCGCCCTTCCCCAATCCTCCCCCGACGATTGCCTCAGAGCTCTGCGGTGTCGGAGGCTTCGATTTCTAGTTCTGGGGGCTGGAAGGAGAGGAGAGGGAGGAGGGAGAAGTGAGCTTCGAGGCGCCCAGGCTCGGCGAGGCGTGCCCGCGGCGCGACGGGTCCATGGCGGCTCGGCGCTCGGCGGGGAGGGAGGCGGGGTTTGAGGCTTGATTGCTCGGGACTCCTCTCTTTTTGTGTTGGCTGTTGGAGAAGGGACGTTTTGGGTGCGTAGCCCTTTCCCTATAGGTGACCCAAACCATGGAATATGTCTCGTATTTGGGTTGGTGCTGTTGGAGATAGTATAAGCATCTCTGCATTATACATGGCCTTACACCACTAATTCCTTTTTACTCTCCAACATAGAAGAAATGAGCAATCTGATCAAAGAAGATACAAGAGGTTCTTCGAAGGACGAGAGAGAGAGAGAGAGAGAGAGATAAAGTGGAGCGGGCGTTGGAGTACTTGATACATTTTCATGTGATATCCAATGCCGAAAAAAAAAAGCAGACAAAAAAAGACACCGACTACAGGCATGCAGGTAGTGCGTACACTGCCGAACAGCCGAAGCCAAACCAAACAAAGGCGCAACCACCGATGAGGTGCAGATCAGCAGATAATAAGACTTCTTCTAAACTTAAGTGGCCATAGTAATTTAATAAGCAGACACCTCATTAAACATTGGATGGCAATGATAACTTGACATCTAAAATACAAGGCTTCGGAAAGTCTAGCCTAGTCGTAGAGGGAAAATTTCCCTCGATGTGTGCTCTGACAGCGAAGATGAAGCATTTGCCAGATTTGCTGTGAGAAACCCCAGAACAACAGCATTTCGTGTCCAATGTAAGGCATTGACGCGATGCCGTACTCTCAAGAATATGACATGTTAGTTCAACCAGGCTTTTCGTGGGGTGGAAACGGGCGATCTTCACCCTCTTGAGGTTGCCGTAGTGGCGCTCTGCCGTCTGGCGCATATGTGATTGCGAGAGTTCCCCAAGAACTGACTCAGGATCCTCGAATACCCTACGTAACTAAAGACAGAATGCATGATATTCAAGTTGATCCATTAGTCACTACTCACCTTGCTAATTGCAATATGAAAAATTATACTTACATTAAAATCCAAGATGAAAGTCTCCAAGGAAGGAGAAGCATCAAGAAAAGAAGCCAGAGAAAAATAATCATAGTCTGGAACAAAGTACTGTCCAGGAACACAAATATCCAAGTACTTGAGCTGGTAGAATTTGCTGGGTAGGATCGCTATATTATTGACCATCTGCATAAAGATTCTCAAGTTATACTCCAAGTGAAGAATTCTTTCCTACCACTATATGCATTCACTAGTCTATAATTACCAATTTACCATAAATTTTAGAGTATACCTCCTTCAACGACTCAATGGTAAGAATCTCGAGACATGGTGCGATCAGTGGAAGGTCCACACGAGCAAAATAGACGGCGCCATAGTGGGACATGTATAGGCCTTTCACTTGACATGCTTCTCCAAGTGAGAGTTGTACAGGCTTGCCGCGTGAAAAGCGTAAAGTGGATAGAGATTTGGAGCTTCGATCTGTATCACTTCTAGACTCATGCATGCTTTCACCTCCAGGTAGCTGAGGCGCCGCAGAAGGTAAGGTATCTTAAGGTTAATTATCTTACTGCAACTCAGGAGTTCCAACCTCTCCAAAGCAAAGGAATCTGATAAAATACACTGTAACTCATCATCCGTGGTACTCGCAGAACAAAGATATAACTTCTTCAGGCTTCTCAAGCAAAGTCTAACTGTAGGACAAAAGGCACAGGAGCTAAGGCGAAGATTCTGAATCGAGTCTCACTAGTAGAAAACAGACCTTTCATCCGAGACTAAAATGGACTTTAGTCCCGGCATTTTTTGCGCCCGGGACTAGAGAGACCTTTAGTCCCGGTTGGTGTCTCCAACCGGGACTAAAGGTCCATGCCCAACGGCTACTGCGCTCGGCACAGTGGCAGGGGACCTTTAGTCCCGGTTGGAGACACCAACCGGGACTAAAGGTGGACCTTTACTCCCGGTTGGAGCCACCAACCGAGACTAAAAGTCATCAACCTTTAGTCCCGGTTGGTGTTACCAACCGGGACTAAATGTAGACCCTTTAGTCCCGGTTGGTAACACCAACCCGGACTAAAGGACCCTTTAGTCCCGGTTGGTGCCACCAACCGGGACTAAAGGTCCCCCGATGGGTTAGTTCAAAAGGGAAGCATCCCATCCATTGTCAGATGTGTTGTGTAGGTGGGGTGGTAAGCTACGCGCGAGGCAATGCATGAGGTCTTGGGTTCGAATCTCACGGGACGCAGCGGTGGGAGGTATTATTTTTTTTAAAGCTGGGAGGACCTTTAGTCCCGGTTGGTGTTACCCACCGGGACTAAAGGGACCTTTAGTCCCGGTTCCTGACCCGGGACTAAAGGACCCCCCTTTAGTCCCGGATGCTTACTCCCGGGTGGGGAACCGGGACTAGAGGTGGTTCCCCACCGGGAGTAAAGCCCGTTTCTGTATTAGTGCTCTACTCTTGCCAGATAAAAGGGAGCATGGGAAGTAGTACTGTGACATGCACATTATGCCTGACCACAACTCAATGATGAGTTCTTCAAGCCCAGATGAAAGAGCAAGGTGAAGCCAGCTATCAAGATGACATAAGTTGTAATGACTAAACATATAACCAGACATTTCAAGCCCAAATGTCTTCGAGCCAGTGCCTTTTCAGAATGTGGTAAACAGTGCTGATGAAATCCGATTCCATTTGCTCATGTCCATGTTGTTACTAACCTTGGGGATGTGAGAATTCCATTTGCTCATGTCCATGTTGTTACTAACCTTGGGGATGTGAGAAGATAACCACTCCACAGGTGGAGATGATCTATATAGAGAGAGCCACATGGGCCATATGAGCCTGTAGTATAAGGGCCTTCATAGTTCATACACTTAACACCCCCTTCAAACTCAAGGTGGAAGCGGAGGATTTGAAGCATTGAGTTTGATCAAGTGAAGCTGATGCTGCTCTCTAGTTTATGTTTTAGTGAAAAAATCAGCCAATTGCAACTCTGAAGGCACATACTGGAGAGAAATAGTTTTCTGATGACAATGAGACCGAATAAAGAAGGCATCCACACCAATATGCTTTGTAAATTCATGCTTCACGAGATCATTGGCAATTTGTATGGCTCCTATATTATCACAGAGAAGAGGTGTGACAACATCACAAGCAATACCAAAATCAACCAACAACCATCGCTGCCATACAATCTCTGCAGTAGTAGTAGCAAGAGCTCGAAGTTCGGCCTCCGTACTAGAACGAGATACAACTGCTTGTTTCTTGGACTTCCATGCAATAGGAGAAGAGCCAAGAAGAATGCAATATCCAGTGATGGAACATCGATTTGTTGGGTCACTCGCCCAAGTGAAGTCCGAGTAAGCATGAAGCTGAAGCAGACTATCATGCACATAGAATAAACTTTGAGATGATGTCCCCCGTAAGTATCGCAACACGCGAAGTAAATGTCCAAAATGAACAGATGTTGGAGCACAAACAAACCGACTCAAAATATGGACGGCATGAGCAATATCAGGCCTAGTGACAGTGACATAAACAAGGCTGCCCACAATATGTCGATATTGAGAGGGATCCTCAAGAGGTACCCCATCAGTGAGACGAAGCTGCAAGTAAAGATCCATAGGTGTAGCTGTAGTTCGATTATCAGTGATGCCTGAACGAGCAATAAGATCTTATATGAACTTAGACTGAGAAAGATGGTAACCGTTGGTAGATTGCTTGACCTCAATGCCTAAGAAATAACTGAGAAGACCCAAATCAGACATCTGAAATTCAGCACTAAGTTGTTGCTTCACATGAGAAATGTGATCCTCATCATCACCAGTAATCAGCATATCATCAACATATAGAAGAAGCAAAGTACGACCACGCGGTGACAAATGAACAAATAAAACCGGATCATGATCACTAGGTGAAAAACCAGCAGCTCGTATCACAGATACAAAACGCTCATGCCAAGCACGAGGAGCCTGTTTAAGGCCATATAAAGCAAGTCAAAGACGACAAACATATCCTGGAGGAGCAACAACACCTTGAGGTGGTTGCATATAAACTTCTTCAGTCAAATCACCATGACGAAAAGCATTCTTGACATCCATTTTAGAGATATGCCAAGAAGAAAGAAGCCACTGCAAGTAATGTGCAAACCGTCGTCATATGAGCAACAGGTGCAAATGTCTCCTCATAATCTAGCCCTTGAGTCTGCTAAGAACCTCTGGCAACAAGACGGGCCTTATATCTCTCTATAGAGCCATCAGACTTGGTCTTAACTTTGAATACCCACTTAGATGTAATAGGTACCGTGTGTGATGGCAATGGAACAAGATCCCAAGTGCCTTGACGATCAAGGGCAGCAAGTTCCTCAGACATAGCTAGCTGCCATTTTGGAATACGAGAAGCTTCCTGATAAGTGGATGGCTCATCAACAATAGCATTCACATGAGGAAAACCATACTTATCTACAGGACGAACAGTGCTACGATCTCAAAGATTATATCGTGGACCAACCTGTAACTCATCAGAAACAATAGATGACTCATCAACAGTATTATTAGAATCATCAACAACGGGCTCGTCAGGACTGGCCAAGGTGGTAGAATTAGAGGGAAGTTGGTTGGGGTTTTTAGGACGACGGTGAAGACACGTGTGACAGGTGGTTTGGAAAAAGAGTGAGGTGGAGGAGTTTCAGGAGGTAAAGGTGGCGTGATGGAAATAGGAGCAGATGGTGTGGTGTCATCACTGGATGAAATTGGAGGAAGACACAAAAAGGAGGTGGACTCCATGGGAGAATAGGAGGGCTTGGTAGAAGGGTTATAAAAAAGGATGGTCCTCAACAAAACTAACATCACGAGAGATGCGTATGCAACGGGAAAGAAGAGTCATAGCATCAATAACCTTTATGCTCAGGACTACACCCTAGAAAAACACACTCAATAGAATGTGCAGTCAATTTAGTGCGCTCACGAGGGGCAAGCAAAACATAGCATGTGCATCCAAAAACGTGAAGATGATCATAGCTAGGAGGAGTACCATAAAGTACTTCACCAGGGCATTGGTCTGACAGTTTGGATGAGGGCTGCCTATTGATGAGGTAGACAGCAGTGGAAACAACTTCACCCCAAAAAAGAGAAGGGATAAAAGATGAGATCAAAATGGTGCGAGCTGTCTGTATGAGATGGCGATGTTTTCGTTCGGCAACACCATTCTGAGCATGAGCACTAGGGCAAGAGAGCTGTGCAAGAGTACCCTCAAAGGACAAAAATTGGCGAAAAGCAGCAGACAAATATTCACCCCTGGAGTCCGAATGAAGAATTTTAATGGGAGTAGGAAACTGTGTGTGAACCATTTGAACAAAAGACTGATAAATGGAACACAACTGCGAATGATGTTTCATGAAATAAATCCATGTATAGCGAGAATAATCAACAATAAAAATGACAATATTTGTGGCCACCCTTTGTAGCAAAAGGTGCAGGACCCCATACATCTGAATAAATAAGATCAAAAAAGGTCTAGCAGAATAGGAAACACTAGAAGAATAAGGAAGTTGTATTTGTTTGCCAAGTTTATAACCCTTACAATGAAAGCTAGACCCAATAGATGTATGACCTAAACAACCTTTATTTATCATGGAGGACAAACGAGACCCACAAAGATGACCAAGACGATGATGCCACTTGGCGAAGGAGGTGGCTGAAGACGATGCAACAATGAGACATGAGCTGTCGATGCAATAGACGAAGGAAGATGTAGGGTGTCTAAAACATAGAGGCTAGAAGCACCCTTACGGCGATGGCCAGTCCCAATCACTTTCCAGCTGCGACGGTCCTTAATAAAATAAGATGAGTCATCAAAAATAACAAAACAATTTTGGTCGGTAACTTGACCAACCGATAGAAGATTCATAGACAACTGAGGTACAAAAGAAACATTTGGTACAGAAAAATGATTATTGCAAAGTGAACCCTGATGAGTGATAGAACAAGATGTACCATCGGCTGTCTAAATAGAAGCGCCATAAGTGACCGGCTTGCAGGCAACCAACAAGGACTGGTCAGATGTCACATGGAAGGAGGCTCCAAAATCAAGCACCCAAGATGAAGGAACACTCATAGTCGAGGAAGTAGCAATAGAAACTGACCCAACAGGTCTTGAACCTCGGAGAGTGGAAGAAGTACCACGACCACGAGCAGCACGGCGGGTGCGAAATTCAGCCAACTTCTCTGGATGCTTAGCAAAACAGGTATCTGAACTATGATTAGTCCTGCCACAATGCTTACAGGATTCTTTGAATGCACTGGTCCTCTGAGAAGCAACCAACACACTGTAACACCTCTGGTGTTACGAGCTCGCTTAGCACCTAGATTAAGGCCTAAGAGAATTTATCAAGGCAGGTTTCTCGGGTGTTAGAGTTAAAACTTGCATTAAGGTGCTAATGAAAATTCCAACAAGGAAATAGACGGGTAGATTTAATCGTTTGGCACGAAAAATAATTTTTTGTAAACAAAAATAAAATAGAACTTGTAATTGGTACTTAAATGAAATTTGAAGTGCAAGTTTAGTAGATGAAAATGCAACCGTTGATTTGGTGAATAGAGGTTGTTCAATAGTATATTTGATAGCTAAGAAATAGAATCCGAAAATTTAGCCCTTTTCGTTGAATCGGCAAAAATTTGAAGTTGTATTGAAAGTATACTTTTTAGCGATTTATAAAATACAAAGTAGTTAAATAATGCCCTGATGTTTTGGTCCTATTGTTTGGTATAAAGTGTGTGCTATGCCGTGAAATGGTTGTTGGTAAAGTTCGGTAAAGTTTGGACCGTTTAAAAATTCAACCAAAAGTGCTTGGAGTGTTAGTTCTAATTGGAACCTTGAGTTCTTTTAAGTATGAAACGATAGTAGGCAATGACATTTTGGCATTTGATTTCCAATGAAATGGTTAAGCACTACATCTATGTTTTCGCACGATCGGTTGCAATTAGGTGTATACTAGAACGTGGTGCATGTCGTGGTTACGTTAGAGTTACGATGCTCACGCAAAAATTGATCGAAATTCGCTAGAGCACATTGAACCGTGTCGTTGACACTCTGTTCGTGATCCGGCACCTATAGCGAGTGATCTCAACCGCTCACCTCAACTACCTCGCCCCGCTCGCTCTCGACCGTTCATCCCACCTACTCATCGAGCTGCTGCCCCTGTTTTTGTTGCTTTGCTGCCACTGTTCTCATTGCTTCGTCCCTCCCCATCGCTTGACCAGTTTAGTGCACGTTGTTTCCAGGGGAGCACATGCAACACCGTCCTTGCCATGCGGTTGCTTTATCGTGCCCACGCGCCGCTGCTCCCTCTCCCCACGCTCCTTCTTGTGCACACCAAGGCCAAGCTGCTGCTGCCATCACCGCCCTCTTCCTCTCCCACGGACATGGGAGCCATGCCACCAATTTCGGCCTTGGCCTTGCCTTGCCTTCTTTCCCCGTCTCACCGTGCCGAATCTGGGGACTGCGTCCTGAAGCAGCGCCCTCCTCAGCCCAGCAACGTCAGGTAGAATCATTCGTGCCGGGCCATGGCTCGCCACCACAGAGCGCCCGCCCGGGCCACGACCTCCTGCGCCTGCGGCCATGACGGCCGCAGCACCACGCTGCCTCCCATCGTGCCTGCTGCGTCGTTGCCTGGCTCCCCGCATGCGCGCGTGAGCCCCACGGCCACGTTGGACCACGACCCCAACTCCTGCTCGCCCTCCCCAGCTCGCCTCCC